CAATTATGGAAGACCATTTTCAATGCTATGTAAATTCAATTATGAAAGACCATTTTCAATGCTATGAAATACCTCTGTAAATTCATTTTATTCAAGCAACAGAATGTTTTCAAAAACAGTTATGCATTGTTTACAATTTTATTACATTAGTTTTAATATTTTTACAATGATTTTTTTTTTTTTTTTTCCTGCAATAAATAAGACAGAAGGCACTAAGATATTTTATGAAATATACTTTAAAATGATTTTATTTATTGAAAAAAATTCAAATTATACATATTACAAAAAGTATAATTTATGTTTATGTTATCATTAAAATATTAGGCACTGCTATTTGTTAAGCTTTTTTAAAAATGCTGTTTGGAGCAGATTGTGCAATATCTGCTCTTCACACTATTAATCTATATAATTACTTTTCATGATTACAATTAAATAAATTTATTCTGGAAACATGAATTTAAAAAATATTGATAACAGGGTTCTAATGGTTATTAGAGTGGATGTTATTAAACACGACTTTTCAATATTGATCTAAAACAATTTAAACATGTTTCTCAAAACTATATCAAATTCCATATAGGATATGCTCCATGAGTGATTCATAAGTTTTAAAATTAAATTGCTGAGATGCCAATAAATAAAAGTGAATTCAAACCACTACTAAACATATCCTTTGCAATACTCTGATATTTATACACATTGAATTTTTACATATGAGTTTTGGTGGCCAAAGTATTTATGCCAACTTTTCTACAGACCATCAAAGCATAGTAAGTCTAACATTGTGAACAATATTGTAACAGTAATAAGGATAAAAATGAATCCATCATTTCATTTTATATTTTAACCAACAATTTTAAATCCATTCACATGATTGCATTTCAATTGATTAAAAAATAAGTTGAATTGCAATTTAAAAAACCAACTTATTTTTTAATCAATTCACGTGTACAAAATCATGTTATAAAAATTTACAAATATTTTATGGAAACAAAATATAAAATTAGATACACATGAAACACAATATAAATGTGAATGGATTGAATATTATACATTGAATGGTTGAAAGTTGGGTTGTTTTAGGTGCACTAATGGTAGCATTGTTTGGTATGTTATACCCTCAATCACATCATGCATGATACACAGTTCAATTTTGTTCTATTCCTCATGATTGGAGACATTAATTCAAAGATTGACAACAACATTTTTTCAAACAATATGACTTTGACTTTGCATTAGTTGGACAAATCCCTTCTCATATATTCATTTATCTTGGCAAGAGTCACTTGACATCAAGTTTTGATCTTAAACTTGTCAACAACCTTTGATGCATAGATCAACCAAATTAAACCAAATGATCATTTCTACAACACGATTGTATGGACATTATGTATAAAATCACATGTTACAATTAAGAACATTTGTTTAGCATCAACTTTAGAAATCACAATAATGTTACTTTTACATGGACAAGGCATGTAAATCAAAAGATAAGAAAAGAGAAGAAAAAGAAGGGAATATTGTTGTAAAAGTTAGCAAAAATGTACAGTGAAATGTAATAAGAGAAGCCCTTCCATAACAAAGGGGATATATATATAGAGAGACATATATATATATAATATGCGAGAAGCTTCCTACCGACTTCTACGGCGGCAAAAATATATAATAATAAAATTAGGAGCAACTGGAGTAAGCATTAACCCCCTTTTCCCATCACCAGGAAATACCCTGCCAGCGTGGAATCTGACGTGGCAGGCGGAGTCGCGGGTGCGGAACCGCCCTGCCCCAATGAACGAGGTGGTAAGGGATCCAGCCCGGGTGCCCGTCCCCGGCAAGCGCCTCCCCCCATCCCTCCCTCCCTCCCTCCCTGGGCGCCCCTTCACAAAGTGGGGGAGCTTCCGCACCTTAAAGCAGAGGATGTAGTAGTCTGCTGATCCAGTCTGTGCTGCTGCTTCTGCTGCTTATGTAGCCGTTGCCGTGGCCGATCGCATTCTGACATCTGCCTGCTGTCTGGACTCTTGTCTGTCGAGCTTCAGTTTCCTTATTCTTCTTCGCTTTTCGTGCTTTTAAAATTCGCTGCTGTCAAGCAACTGGTCCGTAGTCGAAGTTTCAGAGCTCGCAATGGCTTTCTCCGCTGTGAAGAGGGTTGCTGTTGTCTCATTCGTGGTGGTTGCCACCATGGGATCGGCCGTCGTAGCGCAGTCCGCTCCTAGCCCTGAGCCGCAGAGTAGCGACGTCAGCTCTCTCGTGCCTTCCTTGATGGCACCTGTGATTGGCTGCGTCCTTGCCTTGGTCGCTGGAAAGATATGGTAAGCTTGTGGAAGTTCACCACGGCTTTCGGAGCCGAGGAGACGACTTTCAATCGAAGTGGAGCATCTCCATCTGCGTTGGTTGTTGAAAAAGGGATTTAGTCAGAGGATTCGATTTTATAGAATGCCAAAGTGTGAGGATACAGGCTGTCCGCGGGTAATAACTATCCACGGACACATGGAGTGGATTCTTGTGCGGGCGAGATGCAGTGAGCATCTGGAGGTGGAAATGTGCGGCCTCGTTGCGGACTGCTTGGCGATTGTATCTTTAGCAGAGACATTCTCGAAGTGTGCTAGTTTGTAGGATGCGTACTGTGCTTATTACGGCACTCCCGCTGTAAGATCTGAATTGTGGGATTCTTTTCAACTAATTTAAACGGAGCGTGTGGCGTCCACCTTGTTGTTCTGAAAATACATTGTACTGCTAGGGGTGTTTTAGTCGCCAGTACTGCTATTTTCGCATCTATAGTCTATCTGCTGTTGAATCGTCCTCAAGTGCCGATATGTCTGTATAGAGTTAAATGCTGTTGGAACATTTTACTGCCTTGAACTCTGTTGGAATAATTGTGTCAACCGGAGTCCTACTTACTCTCCTGGATCACGACTATGCCTCCTACAAACTCCTACAGGTGTGAGTACGTTTGGGTCTACCTTTGCGTGCAGTTGCTTGAGGCGTATCTATGTTGGGATGCATGAGTAATGGTAGTGGTTAATATGTTGTAGTGACAATCGTTTACTTTGTGTCGCTATTTCATTTCATTTCATTTCTTTCAATCACCAGCATGGAAACGATTTAAAGCTGCCCGAATGTTACAATTCTTTGTTGTCTTCTCTCTTTTCTAAGACTTTGGTTGAGATGCGTCGTTTTGTGATGATACACGGATCACTTATTTTTGAAGTCTAATTTGTTACGAGGATCGTACACTACCTCTCTCAAGGGCCGTTTAGTTATTTTCATACTGAATAGTTGTTGAGTATTTCGAACATCACACTCATGATGAAGACCTTTTGTAAGTAGACAATTCTAGAGCTATCAGAATGTTCCAAACGAATGGTGTTTCTCAGGGCCGATTGACTCGGACATGTGTTGTGCGTATGATGTTACATAAAGCAGTTGCGTGTGTGGTTGCCATTAATACCTTTCCCTGCTGTACTGACCTTCATTATACACCTACGATTGTGAGGCATTACACCGTCTCTAAGCTCGGACGTTAATTTGCATCCATAGTGAGTGAGAAAGTAAGTACTGAACATTCACTAGGTTTTTTTAAACCACTCGTGTTTTGATGTTAATAGAATCCAAACTGAGACTGGTCATATCAAGCAATTATGAGAACTGAAGGCTCGTCCTAATAGGACATTTTCCTTTTAGTACAGTGCCCAATGTGGTATGAATATTCTTTCAGACACATGATTCTTGTTTGTGGAGAATTCTCGAATGATTCAAACCTTGCTGCCGACAGCTGGTGGAGATGAGGTCAAAGCAGGATCCATCAGCTGTCCATTTCTCAGTTGTCGGAATTGGCTGGTAACTACCAGCACAGCAACACTTCCGAACTGACGAGGATATTGTTTGTGAGGACAGGTGAGAATATTTCACGTGACGGCACATACCCAATGCTCTTGTAAAATACACATGCATTGATCGGAATCGCTGTCGAAACTAAAGCTGTTGTTCATGCTCTACAAGTAACGAATCAGTGTGATTTTTGAAGTTCAACATGTGACATGTATCTACAACACACGAACCCGGATCGTTCAAATATCTCATTTCAGTGTACCCGGTAGACCTTGCAATGCCGCCATGCTGAATAATAATAAGATCAATTCTCTCTTTCCGAATATTCCCGTCACCTCCCTATCATAGTTCTGCAGGACACAAACCAGATTTCCTTAATCTTCGATGGGAAGGACTTCAAATGTTTGGGTGCGTTTCACGACTCATGTGAGTTGATTGCATCACCTCAGCTGGCTGGCATAGAGCCAGAAACGATTGACAGGTGAACGATTCAAGTACAGAAACTGTAAAAAACATCCGTTCAGCATACGAATTCCGCTAGTCCTGCACAGAAATGTGTGCAAGAGATGGAACCAGGCGATTCTGGAGAGATATTTCGAGACCAAAGCGCTACACTGGTGACTCTCGAGAGCAGGTGCACCGGCTTGCATCTCTTCAACTGAATTCTTATTCAAATTGCACTGTTTGAATCTCACTGTTGGCGCCACACCCAAAATCTAAGCGCATACACAAAAAAATTGAAATAGAAATGGCGTTGCCAATCGAGAACAATTGCCACTGCAGTGCCTACACACGCAAGGAATTCGTTTCCGGCTGTCATATGATGGTAAATCATGTAGATGAATGACGAATTGATTTCAAAGTGCAGAATGACAGGTTCCGCACGCATGGGTTCGCCGAGTACCGAGATTTCGAAGGATGCGAAGAAACTCACACATCTTGCAGTCAAGGTGGGAATGCGACACTATAGTTACTTGGCGGCGGGAATTTCTAAGGAGGGTTTTAACCTGGCTCCTCGAAATGCGATGAGAGTGCGGGTGGGTGGTCATCAGCACCGAGAAATACTCCAATGGCCACAGTCCACGTAAAACGGGGGGCCATGGACACGGTCCTCCGTGCAACTGTAGCGAGACACAGCTTCCGCGAATATCATTATTGCTCCTGCATCTATGTTACTCGCTTCGTCTGCATCTTTTGTGCCGGTTGCATTGTGCCCTAACATTAGATTTGGGTTTGTGTTCCTGGAAAGCCGAAGCTGCAGGGTGTTTCAGTTCCCGGGACGTTCAATGCCGTGTAGCTTCGCATTGGATTTTTGATTGTGAAGTACTGCTTGTGGTGAAGAGGCTGATTTTGGTCTAATGCAGTGGATGTCTCGTCCTCTGTGAAATTTCGTTTGTGGAATGCCCATCACGACATGGGCAGTTTGAAGAGCAGGGGCTACATAAGTGGCCAGGCGGGCTATGGCGATAGAGCGGCTGTACCTTTGGGAAAGGGCGCGGGGAAGGCCAATGTGTTCCGGATTCTGATCGCCGTTGTGGCTGTTTTTTTCCTGGTCGAGACGATAGCGAATGGGCTCGTGTTCCTCAAAATGCGAGATTCTGACTTGCAGGGAGGATCTCTGAACTTCTTCACAAGAGCTTCTGAGACGAAGACGGTGCGGCCCGGTGATGACGTTCGGTTTGTCCCCCGTCTGCTGCTGTCTAGAGGGAAGGCCACTATGGCCGAGCTGAGGAGGGAACTACGAACTCCTGTGCGGCCTCCGTCGTTGGCATTTGTATGTACCCGCATCGTTGTGTATCTTCAAGAGTGGTCTTTATTCATTGTTTGTAGTAATTGGGATAATGTATGGCATTTTCTCTGCTTCAGATGGCCTAACGTCCAGCCGGACAATGCCCAGTGATTCTACCTGAACCACTGCATCGGTCCTCCTCTGCCGTTCTAGGTTGTTGTGGTAATCCTCATACTATAAATTTTAGGTTAACAATGTCTGAATCATGATTCAGACAAATATGGTGAATAAGCGTCAATGTAATGCCCGTTGTCATCATTGATAGTAGCTTATGGTACAATTAATCGCTTGGCGATTTGGAATGAGGATTGCATGAGTGGCTGTGGTGACGGTTGAATCTTATTGACTCCTCCTTTTCTCTACATGTTACCTCTCTTTTCGCAGATATGCCCAAATCTTGCTTTAAGTTCTCTATCTCTTTTCGTGTTGTCGATCGCGACAGGATTGAGAGAAATTGGCTACCATGTTGAGGTAAACCCGTCTTTCCGATGTCGAGTTTTTATTTTATTTTATTCTATTGATTTATTTATCTTCATGAACTTTCTGCCCTAATATTGAAGATCGAATTCCTTAGTATCTACGTGTGAATACACGCGTTTATTGTGACTTTACTTCCATATTACTTCCTTGTGTATGTATATCCATTTTTAAGATGTCTTGTTCCCTACGTGTGCAGGTCCTCACTCTAAAAGATGGGGAGTTTCGATCCACTTGGGAAACCATGGGTGTTGCTGTCAAGCTTTTGAAAGCCAATTCAGAGAATGTAACAACAGTCGATTGGCTTAAGTGAGAGCTGGATTCCATTTGAACGAAGTTTAAATTTCCTTGTTCCATTATCTATATGCTCACGTTGTCACACCTGAGTGCCGCTAGTTTTACGAAGACTAAAGAATTACATGTAGAGAGTAACATTCTAAATGTTGCAAGATCTTGTAAGAACATTGCATTTGATTAATCTGATATCCTTCGATACGTCTTGGCGTTTGGGAACCATGTGCGCCAGATCTTGAACAATATTTGCAATCTTAAGTCTAATACATGAATTTCACTAATCGTGTGCAGCTACGAAGGTGTGATTGCGGTTTCTCTTAATACGAAGTCTATTCTGGACAGGTTTATACAGAATCCTTGTTTTCTAACTGCTTTTCTAATTATTATTGGAAGGACTGCTTTTCTAATTATTATTGGAAGGACTGCTTTTCTAATTATTATTGGAAGGACTGCATTTCTTGGCTTATTCTTTTCTTCATAACTGCTTCAGTGCAGAATTCTCATTGATAGTCTTGCAGTGGAAAGTCAATGCTAATCAAACCCCTCATTGGACAGTCTTGCACAGGAACCGTTCACGAAAGTACCAGTTATTTGGGTAATTACTGACGATGCACTAGGACGACGTCTTGGGAAATATAAAGCAGAAAATTCGACGGAACTAATTACTGATTGGATACGAAGTTTCAAACGAGCTGATGTCGTAGTTTTCCCAGACTATGCACTTCCGGTGCGTCTCACACGGCCTGTTCAGTTCTCTAGCAAAATCTATTTTTTCTACAGTAATTCAGCCATCATTTCAAGTTAACGTGGCTCGTTCTTATTAGAGCTGATAGCATAACTTCCATTATTCGTATTGCGAAATTCGCCCCTTAAACAGAAAAAGTAACTTTCAAATTTTTATTTATTTTTTATAATGAGCTTGGCGATTAATTCCACAAAGCAGCAGCAGAGGAGTCGGTGACAGTGCGTGGTTTTGTCGTTTGTTCACTTACAGTTATATGGGCAGATAATTTCTTCAGAAATGTTGACAAAATGCGACTGTTTATGTGTGGCTCTTTTAGCTGAATCACTGCTGCAGATCGGGAGAAACAAATTTAGTGATGGCTTGCTGACTGCTATAGTTCTGATTGTGTTGTGTGCGTTCCTTCAGATGATCTATACCACGATGGATACCGGGAATTTCTTCGTCATTTCAGGGTCGCCTAGAGAAGTGTGGACAGCTGAGGAGTATAAGCTTACGCATTCTCGAGACAGCCTACGTGCACAGTTCGAAGTGCATCCTGATGACTCCGTGATTGCTGTTGTTGGGGGTCCTTTTCTTTACAATTGGCGCTGGAGAGAACATGCTTTAGTGATTCGTGCGTTTACGAGGACTGTATCAATGCTGGGTAATGCATCTCAAAAAGGTGGTAGGCGTATTCAGCTATTTATCATCGGCCATGGCAACCACTCAAGCAGCTACGGTGCTGCCCTGCAGGTACTGTGGTAGATATAAACTGCCTCTTCAAGTGATGTGCCCAACACTTTATATCACACTGCCTTGCTCCAAATTATACTTGTAAAGTTTACCCTGAGAAGCCGGAAGCTTAGAAGGTGATTAAGTGCCGGTTCCAGACCTGGACAAAGTACGTTTGCTGTAATGAAGTGTTTTCAGGTTTTTTAGGGCAATAGGGTTCAGATGAGCTTATTTGATTTGATAACTAAGGTTCTCCCTGTTGGCAGGGAGATGGGGAAATAATAGTTTTGTTAAGGCAAATGTGTGGTGTCGGTATTTGTTCTTTGGGTGCGTGGCTTGTAGCAATGACATGGTTGCTTGGTGATGGCCACAGGTTATGGCAGATCATCTCAAGTTGAAGAATGGGACAGTGCGCTATGTAGGTGCTGGTGAGGACGTGATAGGCGTTGTGTGGATGTCGGATGCTGTTGTGTATGGTTCGTTCCGTGATGAACAGGCATTTCCACCGATACTGGGTCTGGCTATGAGCCTTGGGCGGCCTGTAATCGCACCTAATCGGAGAGCCTTTCGAGAGCAAGTAAGATCAGAGTATATGGTAGAAAAGATAAGATGGAACACAGGATTCCGTTTTGTTTTGCTTTTATTTTAATTTTTGGTCCTATAAAATGAAGGAGTTAGGGATGTGCGTGAGTTTGATTCTGTATTGTTTTTTTTGTCTTATTTATTTATTTATTTATTTATTTGAAAACACATTGTTGTATTTTTTGTGTGCAATTTGACACGATGTAGGTGATAGAGCTTGTGGGCATGATAAACTTGTGGATCGTGTGTTAGTCTTACAGTATAGAGGTATTGTTGATTGCTATGTTTTTTCAAGTGCAGTTGCTAACAATCGGTACATGTGACTTGTTCATTTTGGGAATGTGGCACAGATTTCCGATGGAGAAAGTGGCGTGTTATTTCCTGTGGGTGATGAAATGAAACTCAGTGAAGCTATGATACGTGTATTAGGAGACAATACACTAGCAGTTGCGATCGCGTTGACTGGGCAATGGAAGGCTAGGAACATGCATGCTTCGAATGTAAGTCTGGGTTACGGTGAGCTTCTGGAGAGTATTTTGGAGTTTCCTGCTGAGGCAGCGCTACCGCGGCGATTAGATGAAGCTGAGAAGAGTTTGAAAGGAGGATGGCGATGGGAAATGTTGTTTCCAGCGAATACTTCCTTCCAGGTGTCTTTTCAGTCCCGGATGGGGAAACGAGTCCGTGAGAATGATGACGTGGGTTCTGGTGTCATCGATACTTTGGAGGTGCACTGGAAGTTAATTAATAGTGAAAGTCGAAATTTCGCTGAAGAAATTGGCTCTCATGCTTCCAGTGTAGACCTGGAGATTCCGAGCCATTCCGATCTGGACGAAGCTAAAGCGATTCAGGAAGACTTAGTAGCAGAGAAAATTGAACGAGAAGAGGTATGCCTATTTCAGGTTTTCTGTCTATACTTTTAAGAAGTGTGCATAAGAATCAGACCATGCATATGGGACATAAGGCCATCAAATCATCTAAAAATTAACTGAGATGAGAGATGGTTGATTTGAATTAAATGGCTTTCGTTTACATCGCTTCTCGGCCTCGTATTTTTCTTGCCTGCATTGAGTTTGTTTAGCGGGTCATTTATCCATTTATTTTTAAAAAAATTCTGTTCTTTTCAGCTGGAGTGGAGAAAAGAAGTAGTGCAAACTTCTTTGGAATATATCACAAAGATGATTCGAAAGACCGAGGTCCGCAAGGATGAACTGAAAGAACGATCTGATGCAGAAATTCAGCGCAATGCACAGCCCTTAACTATATATGAACCATATCATGGCAAAGGTGCATGGCCCTTCCTTCATGAGGAGAACACGCTCTTTCGAGGCCTCAGTCTTGTAAGGAATTTTTCTTACCTGTTGCTTTCATTGTTATTAGGTACCTGAGCGTTTGGATATTATGACTTGTGTAGACCTGAATGTTCGATTAGACCTGAGCAAATCGATGTTCTGTGCATAGTGTAAGTTGTCCATCATTTCAATTCGATACCTACTGGATCGAAAGGTTTTGAGGTGATACTAAAGCCTTTTGTTTTAGTAAATCACAAAAGCAATCAAACTTCTAAGAAATAAGTGTTGTTCTCCTGGGGTTAAACGGTTTTATTAACTGCTTTTAAACTGCTTTTGCACATGACAACCTTAGTGGATAGTACGCAATGTTTCATTACCAGGGAACGAAGCTGTAGGTTGTGAGAACAGTATGTTATATAACACTACTATTTATCTATTTATTTCTCTTTTCTTTATGTATTTTATATGTCTGAACTAGTGAGTTATCCTGAAGTTTGCCACTAAGATAGTGATAGTGATGATGCTTGTGACTGTTCTAATACTCTGACTATTATGCTTTTTGTAGTCAACGCTGGATAGGCGTCCAGGAGATGATGATGTTGATGCAGAGGTGCGACTGCCTGGTCTCTTGAACGAAACATACTACCGAAACTTGTTGTGTGAATATGGAGCCTTTTTTTCCATTGCCAACCGTATTGATTTGATTCATAGAAACCCATGGATCGGCTTTCAGCCTTGGAGAGCTTCAAGTAAAGATGTGCGTCTCTTTCACCTCTTTATTTGGAAGAATGAAACTCGTGCTACATTTACGATGCTATAAATCAAATTCGACAATGCATTGCACTTTGAGATGAATATGGATTGTTAAGCATTCTTAACAAAAGCCTGTGGAATCCAGGTTGCATTGACACCTGCTGCTGAAGTTGCTTTGGTTAAAGCAATTAGTACCGGAAGGGATGGTGATGCTGTTTACTTCTGGGCTCGTACCGACGGCCATGCTGGTACGTGGCATCGAGATTCTTCTGTAGAGCACCCAGAAGATTTCTGGGGTTACTGCGACTCTGTTAACTCTGGGCGGTGCAGGCATGGTCCCTTTACTTCAGCCATGAATGAGTTTTTGCTAATTGACTTCTTCTTTTTATTTTTGTTAATTATGATATTATTATTCTTTTATGCTCAATAATGTGGTGATGTAAAATTTTATGTTTATATCTTTTGGCCGTTTGAATGTGAAGTGGACGTTGAGGGTAACTTCATTAAATAGTGTTTTCTTTGTAGATAGGGCATTTGCCTTTGATCATTACGTTGCCCGTACAGTTTTCAGGTTAGAGGTGAACGAGAAAGAAGATTTATAAGCTGTGTGTATCATGCAGAGAGGCATATTCTCGGTGTTGGAGGCATATGTATGGGCTGCCTACTACTTGGACAGATTTGCCACCGATGCCAGCTGATGGTGGCACTTGGTCTGCTATGCACTCCTGGGCTATGCCTACACCATCATTTGTGGAGTTTATGCTGTTTGCGAGGTAATTTCTTATTTATGGTGGACTGGTCTGTATGGATAGATTGTTTCTCCTACATCATACAAAGACTTAGTAATTAAGAACATGTATATTTTTTTGCTAATGGATCTTGATGTAATCTAGAATGGTACTTTTCTTTATCAAGTTTGTTCTTTAAGATCCATATGTCAGAAGCATTCTTAACAGCGTGTTGAAATCTTTCCATTCTCTTTTGGCTGACTTAGTGTACATAACTGAATGCTTCTGCTTTGGCTTTCTGTCCTTGCCTTGCAGTTTGGGAATCGTCGTGCCTTATGGCTTTTCTTACTACATGTCACCATGTAGCTCTACTCTGATTATTAGTATTATCAAATTTGTTATGCTTGACAGAATGTTTGTGGACGCACTAGATGCTCAGTATTACGAAGAGCATCTTGATCTTGGAAGGTGTCCATTTGTTAAGTTCCCGCGTGAGGTAAAAATGTCATTCTGATTTCTTACCTCTCCCTAGGTTGGGGAGCATCGTATTGAGGAAGAACAGCTCATACTAGCAGAATTTTCAAACGTGCCTCTTGATTTGATCCATAGCAGAGAACGCTTCTTGTTCCGAGCTGATGATTCTTGTTCTCTTTTTCAGGGTCAACATTGCTACTGCGGGCTACTTGATGGTCTAGTTAATGTGTGGGCATATCACAGCGCGAGGCGTTTGATTTATGTGGACCCCAAAACAGGAACAATGGAAGAGCAACATGCGCTTGATTCACGCCATGGCAAAATGTGGGTTAAGTTTTTGAGCCGGGATACCCTCAAGGGCATGGACGAAGATCTTGCCCAGGCAGCCGATGATAGCGACCTTCCTAGAGAGAGATGGTTATGGCCTCTAACAGGTGAAGTGTTCTGGGAGGGCATTTTTGAGCGTGAACGACTAGAGCGATGGAGATTAAAGATGGAAAGAAACCAAAAGCAGAAAGAGAAGCAAGCTTTGATAAGGAGTCGCATGAAACAACAGGCCATCGGAAAGGTAGTGAAGCATCCTCGTGCGGGAGAAATCAAGCTTCCTGTCGGTGCATCTCAGCAAGTTGATTGAACCAGACAACTCTTTTACAGAAGAAGCAACTTCATGGATGTAGCTTGGATCAATTTATCCAGCTTTCGGGACTGATGGCATAATCTGTGAAGGTTCTCCACTAAAGTCGAGTGCGGATGCATTTCATACAAGCAAATCGAAGTGGTCCAAGTTTCAGTGCAACAGATGGTATGTTGTTTCATTTCCAAATAAACTCGTTAAGTTTTTCAAGTTAGTGGAACACAAGATTTTGTTAACATGAGACGCCAAACAGAAGCCAGTAAAACTGTTTCACTCAAGTATCACCCATCCCATGGGCGAATCGTATCCGCCTCATGACCTTTGCAAACGGTTTACTAGAAATGATGCAGATGTGGATTATCCTGCTGCAGTGCTGTCTTCTTGGAGATGCAGAATATCCTATCCACTGGTTCTAGAATGGTCTAGTTCACTTGCCTTGATAAGAGTGAAAGCACCTAGAAACATCAAAATCACAAATTGCATTATTTATGCCTACAGAAGTTTTGAAAGTACTTGTCCGCTCCTTGAAGAGGCAACTTCCAGGAATATACGGGCATTCGAATATTCCAAGATGAGGCTCTAGGGTGAAAGAGGAGACGTTCTTTGAATGTTGAAGAACAGTACAGGTTTTTTCTTTTGCAACGTATGTATCCATTGTTTCACATTGCTTAAGTGTAGGATAGGAATCAGCAGCGTTGATTCAAAAAAGGACGAAATTTTTTACATGCCAGTGCTTGAAAAGCTTTTTTATGATCCCAGGGCCTGAATCGGTAGGATGAAGGAACTGTACCATGAATTACATTGAATGGGGAACTTCAAATGTGGCATTGTTTCAAATGTCATTGGGTCTCTTTTATTTTGTGCAATCGTGGACTTCCGAGGAAATTCTACATGTGGTGATCAATGATTTCTTTTCGACTATGGACAGTAACTGTATTTGTGGGGCTACATGTTGTTGACCGGTTCTGATTTTTCTCCGACACTAAGTTTTGCGTGTGGTTGGTTCTGTGATGGAACTGATACAAGCTCCTGACAGCAATATTCTCGATCCGGATTGTAAGTTTGAGTGTTGGTTGTTCTTTGCGATTTCGTGTAAGGGGAAACAACATACTGCTGCTTTTTTTGAGAGGTAAATCTCTTACTATTCACCCTATTTTTATCTGTTTGCAGTGCATTATAATCTTGTCGTAAATACCTCAATCATAGTTCTCATATTAATTTTACGCTGAGGGAAGCCTTGTGAGAAAATGAGAGAAATGGTAATGTGCGGATATTATATATTATATTTGAATATCACATCATATATATTGTGGTTAAACTAATATTCTTGTTTGTGTATATTTCTATGTGTAAATAGTGTTAACATTGTAAGTAAATTCTGATAATCAGATCTGTCGTTGTATTCATATTCAACAATGATGAGTGGTGCAAAGTGCAAATAGTCATGATTGGTATGTGTAGCTAAAAACCATTCAAATCATGTTTTTGTCTTATATTGATTCTTTTTAAAAGTATTTTAAGCATTATCAAATATGAATTAAATGAACTTCAGACAAAAAATGAAACTTAATTTTGTAACTAAAATGTAGTATGATATTCGATTGATAAATCGATCCATCATGTGACTAGCGTGATCTTCGCGCATGTTCAATCGATAAAAAATGATTTTCTTTCAAGTCCCACCAAAGCGCTCATCTTGTATCCAGTAGCAGTTTCTGAAGCTTTACAGCCGGGAAACACTGTCAAAAATGAAACCCATGACAGTCACGCCAATTGTTGCTTGATGGGTCAATTTATGAAAAGGTGGGTCGATTTAACAATTTTCTAATTAAATGACGGGTTGTATAAGCTAATATTATTTGTCAAAACTTGAACAACTGGTTGAAAGGTGAGTTTTTCACTTTGTTTTTGTGCTGTGAGTTTTTAGAAAACCACTGGAAGCAAGACACCAATGTTAACAAGTGTAAGTTCTTTGAATAAAATTAAACCAAATTTCGTTAATGTTTTTCTTTTGTCAAATCGGAATGTTTGATTTGCTACTAGATTTTCCTTTTATGTTCTCAATTTTATGTTAAGATCCTTATTTTAGTATATTTTAGTATATTTGGTATTGGTTTCCTTTTTATTTGTTATTTTTTTATGTAACTCAATATTTGTGTTCTATGTTTTGAATTTTTATATAAATATGAACAGATGTTCAAATTCATTGTGACGATGTTAATGTATTATGTGGTTGTGATATGTGTACTGAGATATATATGCATGTGCATATACATGTATAAATACATAAACACATATAATTAATATCTTTTTATTAAACTGTGACCATAAACAATATAACATTTTCTTTTAATTATATATATTTATAATGAATTTATAATTATTCACAATATATTCCAAAAAATAACTCTGATAATTTTGTATCCTTACTATGACCTATGACTACTATCAGGAATATGATTTGATATTGTATCCAATAAACCAACATATTGTTGCAAAGTAAATCTTCATGCAATATAAAAAGGTTATGTTGTATCTGACTATAAATAATAAGAAGTTAATTTCGAAAATGTATTTAGTTTGATCTTCTTTGTAGTTTATATTGAAAATTAGGAACACATATCAATTTTTTAATAATTTCAGATTGAATATTTAAGAAGAAGTCTAAGATGAAGATATTGCACTAATCTTCCAGAAAAAGGTTTGTGTTAGAATATGTTAATTGAGTAATTTTAAAATATTGTTAAGACTTCCAAATGAATTTAAGTTTTAGCAGGAATGAAGTTTCAGAAACATGTCTTTAAAATGCTTATGACACTAGAAAGACAAGTATGATTTTTTACTTGTGTATAATAAAACATAGAGAATTCTACAGATCTTGGGTTTTGTCTTTGTTGTGATAATTTTAACTTACAAGAATATTATAATACAAATTGGGAAAGTAATACAATCAAACGTTAATGTGCTCCAGATTATGTGTTTGTTTATTTTATTGTAGCATAATTATTTTTAGAAAATAGCAAATCATACTTGATAAGTATGCAATGGATAGAAAGAGGCAAAATTTATAACAACAGGCCAATGTAAAATTGAAATCATTTCACTTGTTCGTAAAAAATAAAATAAATAAATAAAATGAAAAAGACAAACAAACAAACAAAAAATGGATTGCATTTGTAAGAAATCCAAAATACCAATTGTATACTAAAAATATTGATATACTTTATTAATTTCTTGAAAAAAATATAAAGAGGAAATTCATTAAAAAAAAAAAAAATAGGTTATATTGTTATTCTTATAAATTTAATAAACACATTGGAATTGAAAGAGCTAAATTAACTTTTAAAATAAGAATGAAAGAATTAGTACTGATAATTACATTATCAGTACATATAATTAAGTAAAATAAGAGATTTTTACTCTTATCACTTTCTGAAAATATTTTTTAAAATTTTTATTGGTTCTTTGCATACAATAGTATGCATAAATTTTGTATTTTAGCTTTAAATATACTAAATAAAGTTATATTTATTGTAATTATAATATATTTTATGAATAGTGAATGTTCAAATTACTTAATTTCCATCTAATATATCTCAACCAACTCCTAAATACACTTAATATTGTTTTTTCTCATTTAAGACTAATTAAAATAAATAAAACATGTCTCAAAACATGTCAAGACATATAATGTGTGTTTTAATGCTCTAAGGGGCATTTATAATCAAAAACCCACTTTGAAAGGCAATGGTTCAAAAGCCTTACCATGGTTCTGGGCTTGGTAAAGAAATCCCTCTTTTGGAAGTTTTATTTTTTAGATACAATACAAAGTGCAAAGATGCTATAAAATAGATCAAATTATTCTTTTATTACCAATCAAAGTATGTCAATGTATATCTTCATTCAAAAAATTATGATAAGTATAGGTTTTTATTTTATAATTTAAATGATTATTTTAAGAATTGTTTACAAGACTTCTTTTTTTAAAAAAAAAAAAAAAAAAAAAAAAAAAAAAAAAACTCACCTTGAGTTGGATCGAAAAGGAATTCCAAAACACTACATTATCTATGCCATGTAAGAAATAAATGTATTCGACCTCATTTTTTTCCTCTTAGGACTTATTTAACACCTAAAATCAATGCTTTAAAACTCTTGTACTAGTAAAATACATGTAATCTATTTTTTCACGATGTACAATATTAAAAACAAATTCTTATATTTCAACACTTTGCCATGAGAAATTCCATAATCTATTCTAAATAATAATAATAAAATCAAGATTTTTTTTAATATATATGCAAATTAAGATGACCTCTCACTTCAAATACTTTTCACTTTTGGTGAAGAAATATATCCTACTATGGCTTTGCTTAAACATTATGATATTTCTTCAAACACATGATACATCCAATACAGTCTTTTTAAAACCCTGGGTACCTAAATTCTAAAATTTATCCATATCTTATTTCTAACTTGTCTGAGCTGATGCTAGTTATTGATTGTTTTTATTTAGAAATAAAGTATCTTATACTTTTTAAGGTATTAACTAAATTAGAAACTAAACTGTTCTTTTGTCATCAATAGTATCCTCAACAATGTTAGTGTTACAAATTAACTTCATTACCATCATATGATATTTTATATATATATATATATCTATATATATCTATATATATCTATATATATCTATATATATCTATATATATTACAAACAACACAATATGATACAGACACCTATTGTAATACCCGATTTAGGTACATATATTTAGTTTTTTGTCTTTCCAATAATAACTAAGTAGAAAATTAATTTTAAAATAAAGAAACATTATAATTGCACTAGAAGTGGCAACAAGACTTTAGTCCTAATTGCAAGCATTCATAATTGTTTTTAACCATTTAAAATACTTACTTTCTCCAACCTTAGAAAAAAGTTACATCCTCTAATTTCTATACAAATGGCATTCTCTCGATTAGTCTAGGATTCATTACATGTTACCCTGCATTTCATTATCATCTTCTCACACACACACACATCCCAATCAATCAGAACCAAAACCTTCAGCCTAATTGCAACGTTCTCCAATACCCACATGGTGGAGACCACAAGGCTCATGCTTTCTACAACAAAATGCACACAATGATACGAAATAATAAAAATAATAAAAACTTTAAAAACAAAATGCTAGAACAAAAAGTCTCCATGAGTGAGTTTTCAATTTTCCCAACCTTTTGTCTCCGGGAAGCATTCAATTCAAAATAATTGATAATTATTGTCGTCTTAAAGGGAAAGGTCACAAGCAATTCTCGCACTGGCAAAAACGAAGACTGCAGTGAATATCCCTGTGCTACGCAGCCATCCCCAACTGCTGGTTTTTAATTTTATTTTGTGTGTATATAAGTGTGTGTATATATATATATATATATATACATACTTTCTTTGCAATATATAACACAAGACCCCCTTATCATATCTGCCTCTCTTTTCAATTTTTCTTTGACCCGGAGAACAGGTGAGAAAACTGGCAGTTTTGTCTATATATTTATCCAGGGTGTCTGGCAAGCTCATTCATCATTGGGATTCATCCACTTCCTTGTGGCCTGCTGCTGCTTCATAATGCAATTGGCTTCACTTCGTCAAGCTCGACGCTGAACACATTTTTTGGCACTAACACTCACTGCGACCATCGTCGAGCTCGCTCTCGCTCTCTTCTCCCGAGGTATGTGATTCTGTCTGTGCTGGTGATTCCAGTCACCATTGCTCAACTATCTTGCTGCTGCTTCTCCTGGCTGATGGTGGTGGTGGTTTCCATGCCGCCTTCTGTTGCGTCTGCGTGTGCGATTACGTTGCGTGCGAGTCTTTCCCTGGATGGTGTGGAAAAATCATTGCATTTTTATATAGCGAAACATGGGTCATCAGCACACGTTGCCCGCGGTAGATCCACATCTGCAAGTTTGGATTTTGTCTCCCCTGCTGTTGTGTTGTTTTACTCTAATCTCTGGATATAGAAGCTGGCCGGGAAAAAAGAAAAAGAAAAAGAAAAAAAAAGAACCAAAGCACGATCTCAAGTTCATGGGTTAGCCTCACTGACACCCCTTGCAGAGTTGCGTTGGTTGAAAGTGCTCGTCGACGTGATGCCATGAAAAGGCTTAATCTGGGCGAGCATTAGAGATTATATAGCATCTTTTTTTTTATATTCTCCTTTATCTCACCCAACTCTGTAATTACCCAATTATTCAACGTCTCGTCCCCTATTCGCTTGTGGATAATGGAACTGCAATGACCCCTGAGAGTTATTATCACGCACAACTGATCCTAGATGGACAAATATTATCGAGTATGGCTTTGAGGTTGACTGAAATGGATTGGACAGTGTCTAGTCATGTCTTTCAGTTGTCATTGCTTAGTCGATAAGCGACTCTGATTCCTTGTTGCTTTCGCATTACTGATAAGAGCGACACATTTTACTTTTGGAGTGTGATCTTTTCGCGGAGAGTCCTTGTCGAATGATGGTTTCCTGCGGACATACTCATTTGACAAATACGTACGCTTTGTTTTGTTTCGTGGATCAGAGCTAGCAGCGAGGTCGTCTCTAGAGGAAGCTCACCATGGCTGAAAATCTGGCGTCCTCCATGGCTAACCTGCGCACGCCCAGCTCTGGGGGGATGATTGTTTCTTTCGGGGAGCTCCTCATCGACTTCGTGTCAACAGTTGCCGGTGTATCGTTGGCTGATGCGCCAGCTTTTAAGAAAGCCCCCGGGGGAGCCCCTGCCAATGTCGCCGTGGGAGTTAGCAGGCTTGGCGGTCGCTCAGCCTTCATTGGGAAAGTAGGCGACGATGAGTTCGGGCGCATGCTGGCGGACGTGCTGGAGAAGAATGGTGTGAACGTCAAGGGACTGCGCTTCGACATCGTCGCGCGCACCGCACTCGCTTTCGTTGCGCTGAAAGAATGCGGGGAACGGGAATTCATGTTCTTCCGAAACCCAAGCGCGGACATGCTTATGGTCCCCTCAGATCTCGACGAGGGATTGATCCGAAACGCCGAGGTGTTCCACTACGGGTCGATCTCGTTGATATCCGAGCCGTCGCGCTCGACGCATCTAGCGGCCATGAAGCTGGCGAAGCAGAGTGGAGCACTGATGTCTTATGACCCCAACTTGCGGTTGGCGCTCTGGCCATCCCCCGAGGCTGCTCGGAGGGAGATTTTGAACATCTGGAATGAGGCCGACATTATCAAAGTTTCGGACGAGGAGGTGAAATTCCTGACCAACGGAGGGGATGACAAGTTGGACGAGGTGGTGCTCGGGACTCTGTGGCACGACAAGCTGAAGCTCCTGCTGGTCACTGATGGCCCCGAAGGGTGTCGGTACTACACCCCCACGTTCAAGGGCCACGTCGACTCCTTCAAGGTGGCGGCAATCGACACTACGGGAGCGGGCGACGCTTTCGTCGCGGGATTGTTACAAACCCTTGCGCAAAACAAGAGCATCTTGTCCGACGAGCCGGCGTTGCGAGCTGCATTGCGGTTTGCGTGTGCGTGCGGGGCGATCACGACCACCGAGCGGGGCGCAATCCCCGCCATGCCGGACTTGGCCGCGGTGACGAGGTTTATGGGTACCGTGGCCGCTTGAATCGGGGCCATTTCCATGCAACCGAGTGAATTCCGAGAACCTAAATGGATAGTATCCTCAGGTGATAGGATTAATATTTCTAGAGATAACGATATCGCTCAATTTACGTCTCCAGGAGTAGTGCTGAAAAACAACGCTAGTTGTTGTGTCTCCGGTACGCCGAGGAGGGGTCATCCTTGCCCACCGGGATTCAGCTGTAACGATGTCTGCTATCGCTCTCTTCTTGGGAGCTCACGCATTATACAAATCAAACAAATCATTCAAATCCTCGCACCGATCTTCCACGATTCTCCGTCATTTTCCAAGTATTTTACCTCGAGTCGTCTGTGCGTGCGTGCGTGCGTGCGTGCGTTATTCGGTGCGGTAGAGAGATCGCGTAGCGCCAACTCAAGCGCATGACGGGTTGCCACAAGCATCTGCTATGAGAGCCTAATAGCGCGATTAGGGTTTTTATAGGCAAACCCTGAAGGCCAAAAGCACCAAAAAGTACAATGAAACCCTAAAAGTAATCTTTGTTTATTTGAGAGCCACGCTGCTTGTCATGTGAAGAGTCGAGTGATGGATATTAATGACCCTCATCATTATTAACTATTGAACAATTCAGAAGTCTATTTTAAGAATGTTTTTTGTAAAACTAACCATGTATAAGCATCATGTAAAATAGAGAATTATTTAAACTTGTTTATAATACATGTATTAGTATCTTATTCCCTTTAAATTTATATAAATATAAGCATTGTATAATACTTAATATAATTTTATACATTAAATGGTATTGTTGTGTATGCAACTTCAATTTTTAATGCAACATATTATAAGTAATATATATATATATATATATATATATATGATTGTAAATATTATGGTAGATAGTGTTATTATTCAAGAATTTTATTGCATAGACATGCTTTAAAAATATGTAGATAATTAACAAACTTTTTACATAGTTCTATCATAAAATAAATATGTGTCTAAATATATAATAGATATCTACTTTAAAATATATTTATGATTGCAACAACTTTGATAAGTTTTCTTAATCATAGATAATAGAATTGCACAATAAATATTTACAATAAAAATATAGTACTGTTTTAAAATAATTCTATATTATAAAAAAATTGTAATTAATTGAAAAATATCTATATTATATAAAAAAAAGGTTGCTTTACAAAATATTTCAATAGTTACCTTCATATACAAATAAAAAAAAATTAAAAAAAATCATTATGAGAAGACAAGTTATGCCATCAAACCATCTCAATATCTGTTTATTTATTTGATCTCTAAATTCGTTATAAGAGGAATCAAATGATTTTAAATATTAATTGAAAATAAATTATCAAGAATTATAATCTTTGATCTAGTATTTTGTTTTGCATAGCTTTCTAGATACATATTTTATGATATAATATATGTATTTTTATATAATTTGTTTTAAAGAAATTATTTATGGTTGAAGAATCAGCCCAAAAAAATTGATTAATAGTTACAATAATTATTGTATATATATTTAGAATAAAATTTTAAAAAGAATATATATATTTTTTACTTAATGTAGATCAAACATGAATAGATTATTATATTAGGATATTAAACAATATAGTACCTTATACTATAAAATTTTAACTTAGTAATGATATTTATTATAAATTTTGAATGATAATATTTAACAACTTTTAAAAATATATTTTGATTAAAATAAAAGTAATCTACAAACCTTGATATACAACTATAGATTAATAAAATATTATATTATAATTTTAAAAAGCATATAAATCTAATAATTTTAAATTTATTTTTTTATATTTTTTATATTTTTATATATTTTTTTAAAAGAATAATATTTATTTTAGAAAAAAATATTTTTTAGAAAAAAAATTATAAGTAGATTTGGAGAATTTATTGTTACTTGTTTTATAGTTTTCACTATTTATCTTAAGTTCATTATTAATATTATTATTATATTTAAATTTTAAGATTTTTTTTTTTTTTTTTTAATATATTTAGCTTCATTTCTAACACATTCTAGTATTTGAATGCTGTGCATGTTATTGTCATCTTTATCTACTTGAGTTGTAATTATTCGAATTTTATTTTTTACTCATATATTGCTAGATAATCTAAATGTCTATTTGTTCAAGAAACTAGCAATCTTGATGTTGATTAGATACTAAAATTTAAGTGAAACTTTATTTTTGCTTATAATTTTTATATAATGTTTTGTATTTTTTTATATAATTTCTATGATTTATCAAACTCATGCATTGTTATTGCTATTTAATCATATTATTATACCTACTAAGAATTAATTTATTAATATGTGGAAGGAAATTATATTAAATTGGTAAAAAAATATTACTATAAAATATTAAAATTTATTTAAAAAAAGAATAAAAATAGTAACATGGGTTTATGGATTTTATTAAATAAATAATAACAAGACAAAGAATACTTTTAGAAACAAAGATTTGGTAGAAAAAATATTCTTTAGAATCATTTTTTCCTTAAATATAGACTGTTTACTATTCTAATTAATAACCCTATAACCATACATATATATATATATATATATATATATATATAAGTTTTTATCTTCTTCTTTGTATTGCTTATTTAACTTCTTTTGTTGTATAATCTTTTTCTAATAATTAGTTTTTAAAGTAAAAAAATGAATTTATATTGATCTTTCTAAATAAATTTCTAAGGATATATTGGCTAAATTAAGAAAAATGAATAATTTGTAAATAACAACAACCACAATAACTTTTCAAGATAAAAAATTATACTAGGACATTGACAAAATATCTATGCTATTGGCAAGGATTATGCATTCTTTTTTTAAAGTTTGTGAACAGTAGATAACATTTAAGATTTTTTAAAAAAAATATTTGGTTTTGATATTTATGTTTTTTTTATGAACATTTTTATTGGTTTTGACAAAGCTTCTTGAAGTTTTGTAAAAACCAATTCTTGGAATAGACTTGATATTAATTTTAAAAAACAGTATTATTCATGGCAAGTAGGAAAAAAAATGTATTCTACTCTATTTTTTCTTCTTATGATTTTTAGATTAATTTTTCTAATTATAATACCCACTCAAAAATGCTTCTCAAATTCATCTACCCAAAGGATTTAAAAGTTTTCTATCTTCTCTTCTAAATATCAATACCCCTAAAGACTCAAGTTGGATACCACAAACAAGTTGAACAAATAGTACAAAGAAGTTGAAGGTGGTTTGCATGAAGAGTAAGACCAGTGTGCAAAATTGCAGAGAAGGTGTATCAAAAGGCAATCTTTACATGATAAAATTTCATAGACATACGTATTGTAACACATAGTGGTCTAAAGCTTTTGGCTTGATGAGTCTTGGTGAAGATCATAAGCCTACATTCATCACATACATTGTCGCTAAAAGCTGGGAAAGTGAATACTGCATCAGTGAAGCTAGCTTCAGCTGTGGCTTTCAATGCAAACAGAATTCAGTGCTTCCTTGTCAGAAGAATTTGTCCAACAGTTTAAGTGATATTCCCCCAAAAATCGATGCAAAAAAAAACAGCCTCAAAGAGGTATCACAAGAAACAATCTATGCCACTAGAACCAGCCATGGTGGTACAATATTCTCTCAATTTGATGCAATGCATTCATTCGAAGACCCAAGCCATCATCTTCACTTTTACAATGAACTTCGACAAGTTCTTCGTCAAGGTGAGAACTTATAACCGGGCAATACTCGTCCTAACTCAAATAGTCTCTGCAATTGCAGGTACCCATTAATGCTGATGTTAGCATATCAAGCTGTGGGTCAGTCGCTTACACGGCTTTTGAATTGATACAGCGAGCTCTAATCGAGAAGGAACAACCATAGCACCTGTCCAGTGGTATTCTATTAAGCTGTCAATGTTAGATTCCTTCGCTTCCAGATGCGGTACTGTACGTTTGCAATATGGAGCACAATACCGGTGGAAGAGAATGTCAATACAAATTTATATGTTTCTGGTGTCAGCCTTTTGACGAGAGAAAAATTACATTCCCACACCTAATTACAACCTTCGTGTGGACAACAGATGGAGTGACTACTTTTATAGCTGAACAACACGAGAATGACCCATCTGTGAGATTCAGGATTGTGGAGCTGAAACTCTGGCCCACCTGAAACTATCCTACACTGAGATGTCTTTCTGCATTCTGATGTTTGTTCGAGAAACTTCAATGTTTTGCTGGATGGAATGCAGGTCTTGTTGTAGCCAGCCAATGCCAATTACATTCTCAACGTCAAGTTTCAGTTACATTTTCAATATTGATTAGCAGAGGTAACGCCTTTAAATCTGGTCGAAGTTCTCCATCTTAAAAATGCACACACGTGCATTCATTATCAACGAGACGCCCTCGAATCCCATTTCGAGCAATGAGAACGTTGAGCTAACACACTAGCACGTTATTTCACAAAATATGGAAGTGTTGTGGCGATTTCAAGATGTTCGTCTACACCTAGTTCGAAGTTTGGAATTGAGGAAGCTCGCATTCAGCTACAGGGAAAATCCGCTCCAGATCTGCACAGCAATTGAAGTCGTGTGCATACGAAACCTGGAAATCATGAAATAAAACAAGACTATGTCTTGATTTTTACCCAGACCTTGCAGACCTGACACGATGGTTATAATCGCGAAGAGAGTGCCGGTTCTGGAGGGGGTATGGAAAATCCAACTAAGATGCAACAAATATTGTTTTCAAACAGAGATTTACGTAACATCCAACATCAGTGAAATCCAGAATTCTTCAGAGTCAACCTGGCTCATCCTGCAGCAGTGATCTACCCATTCATTAAGCAGATCTCTTATGGGTTCATACCGATTGTTCTACGTCAAACCAGTGTTTTAACTTCGAATAGTTCTTCACGAAATGAGTTGCTCTTAAATGAGCACAGAATGGAATTAGCATTACACAACGAGGAAGTACACTTCCAGTGCAAGTAACGATTCAACTGGTGCAGATTGATTGCAGAAAAAGTTGTTTGCAAATGGATGAGTGGGTGAGTCACATGTGGTTCTAGTAGATGATGTTACAAATTGTTGCAAACAGATCATTGATCTAGTGCCCATGATCTAGAACAAACAAAAGAGGAGGTCATCTTTGATCTTGCTAGTAAAAGTACTCTTGAATCCAATGTACAAGTACATCTGAGGGATGAATGTAATTCATCAATACAACATATTTCGTTGATGATATGTGTGTGGGATTTGACCTAATATTACAACATTCCTCCACAAATCCTATTCT